TAGATATATATATATATAGATAGATAGATAGATAGATAGATAGATAGATAGATAGATAATTAAAGATTCATCTTCTTTTTCAAATTTTTTGAGCTATCATGGCTCAAAAATAGGCTCATTAAAAATGAGTCTATTCGCCTGCCCACTAAAAGTCACTAATATGGTTTTCAAGACACCTATTAGAGTCTCTTAACAATCCAAAGTATCGTTTTATAATGAAGGACATTAGAGATTAAATGCGGTACAGCGCATAAGACTCCCGAATGCATCCTATGCTATAGAGTAGTGGATGAATCGGGAAGAACATCTCATTTCACAGAATGTTGGAAATGATCCAGATGCGGAGACAAATTTAGAAACCCCCATCCTTCTACCCCCAGACACGATTCTTCATCTAACACTCGCCGGAAGTGAACACATCTCTTAAACACACTTCAATGAAAATATATTTTAACGGGGGGCAGCTCATTCGTTATGTGTTAAGGATGAAAAAGTTTTGATTCGATTGTTCTGTTTGAGATGGGCAATTATCTGTTTATGATTCTTTTGTCCAGGGAGACGAATCTCTCAGATTCTTTAGTTATTTTTAAATCTGTTGTGGTTGATGCCTCTTACCACTTCTTCTGGAAAAAAAAAGAAGGTTAACAAGAGTTCTCAAATTTTTGTTTCCAAGGAACAATCAGAAAAAATAGTGTCATCACATTTGTAACTGATGAACAATGGTGATGAGCAATTGTAAATGTTTTATTTATTTATTATGCATGAAAAAGGAAAAAGGTGAAGAGCAGCCAAGACCATAACGAGTGGGGGGCAGGGGTAGAAAGAAAATTTCAAAGTTAAATTCTCTTTAAACTGAAGTAACAGTAAATTTAAATAGATTCTAAGAAAAAAAGGTTTTAATTCACAGGCCAACTGAAGTATTTTTTTAAAGCCTTGGGGTAAGCAGCTCTCTGTTTTGTGTATATTACCTTTTCAAGTTTATATATCCTAATTTGCAAAGAAACAAGTGGCTTTTTTTAAGATCCAGGTACGAACTCGTGTGCTGGTAGCTGCTAGTCGACACATACTAACTGGTTTTTTCTCTATCCTTCTTCATAAATTATCCGATATAATTTATAAACATAAAAATTTATTTTATAATATCCCCATAGCAACCAATGATACAAATTCTAATTTACAACCTAGCGTATATCAAATAACAAATAATTAAATCAAATACTTTTAAAAAAATATTTACCTTGCTACCCTCTAAGTTACTCCAGTTAAAAATTACAATTATTTCATTATTTAAAAGCTTTAAAATATGTAGTAATAAAATATATATTTCCACAGTCTCAATTGCCCTATATTCCGCAATTCCTTTCCTTTTTTATTTTACGATCTGTTTCTACATTTATCTATTATTATTCAAAAGTAAACATCATTTATCTATTGTTACTTAATTCTTTTAAAATTAGAGCAACTAAGTAAGTTTATCTCACTAATTTCTCAGTATAGATTCATTTTCAATAGAGAAAACATGTTCTAAAAATATTATTTATGTTTTCTGAAACAAATAAATTTCAGTCCTATCATAAAAGTTACAAAATTAATTATATCTTTCATATTTTTTTGTGTATAGAATAATTCTAGAACTAAAATCAATTTCTATGAGACTCAGAATAGGTTTTTGAAGGATACCTTATGGCTTAAATGATTTTAAATTAATAGTTATTCTAATAATGTATTGGTAATGAATTCTAATATTTTTTTTTAATTTCAGATATTTTGTTGAACCCTGTAAGGTGTGTTTGGTGTAGAAGGAAAGAGATGCAACATTGTTTTTTGTGCCTAAACTAAAAAAAATAAATTATAAAATGTTCTAAAT